AGCATAGTGTCTTAGGGTTTCTACTGGTGTGACAAAACATCATGATGAAAAGGCAGGTTAGGAGGAAAGGGTTTATTTGGCTTACACTTTCTCATCACTCTTCAATTGAAGAAAGTCAGGACAAGAACTCAAACAGGGCAGGAACCTGAAGGCAGGAGCTAATGCAGAGGCCATGGAGGAGTGCTACTTACTGGCTCACTCCCTTTGCTTGCTTTTTTTAAAATTTCTTTTCTTTATTCTTTTCTGATATAATACATCCCAAACACAACTTTCCCTCTCCCTCTTCCTAGTCCCTCTCCCCTATATCCACTGCTCCTCCATTTCCCTTCAAAAAAGAGCACTCAGCCTGCTTGCATGTAAGAACCCAGGTCCACCAGCCCAGGGATGACACCACCCATAATGGGCTGGACTTTGTCCCCCATCAATCACTAATTAAGAAAATGCTTTACAGCTGTATCTTATGGTGGCATTTTCTGAATTGAGGTTCCCTCCTTTCAGATAACTCTAGTTTGTGTGTCAAGTTGTCATAAGACTAGGCAGAACACATCGTAAGCCTATCACAAATTGCTTCTCATTTTGGCACAATCATTTATTTATAAATGACACATATATTACTCAGTTGCTCATGCTAATAATTTGGGATTATCCAAATATCCTTTACGTTGATCCTATTATCAATTTCTTGTGGTTTGGTCGCCATGTACAAACTGTCCCTAGTTATAATGTTTTGACTTGTGGTGTTTTTAACCTTATGATGATGCAAAGGTGATAATTACCTGTGGAAAATGTACTTTGAAACTTTATCCTTGCCTAGACCAGCACTGTGAGTTCCTATGCTGTCTTGCAAATGGGCAGAGGCAGTGAAAGCTGCCAGCTGGCATTTAGCGACGTCATCTGGAGGAGAAAACAAACAAACAAACAATGTTCCCCTAAAGGTGTGTGACTATGCTCCAACATGCAATAGGTGTATCAGTGTATCAGATGTATTGCCAACCTAACAATATTTTAACGTACGATGGGTTGGGGATAGAGTTCCATCGTAAGTTGAGGAACATGTGTATTTAGAACATATCTTGCTACTTCCTCTTCTGCTGCCTAAGCTGTGTCATCTTACTTTCTGACAATGGCAGTGGCCTCCTCACAAATTCTGTTGCTCTGGCCTTTTTTCCTCTATAGAGTAAATAACATATTGCTTTTCAGTTCAGTTTCATTTGAAGCAGATTGAGGTATAGTTAGCATTCAATTATTTTAAGTGATTTTGGGGGTGGCTGGAGATGGCTCAGTGTTTAAGGGCACTAACTATAGTAGAACCCAGATTCAATTCCCAGCATCCACAGTGCAGTTGACTTGTAACTCCAGTTCCCAGGGATGTGATACCCTATTCTGACACCTGCAGACGCTCTGTACATGCTGTGCACAGACACACATGCAGGCAAAACACCCGTGAACATAAAATAAATAATATAAATCTTTTTTAAAAAAGCATTCCTGGGATCAGGAGAAAGGAAGCAAGACTGGGCAGACAGAAGTCAAGTGATTATATAGACTTTATGACAACTGAGGCCAACCACATACTGTCCTTTAGAGTTACAGTGGCCTTTTAGATTTGTACCAAGTCAGGTGAAGATGACCAGGCCTTTAGGTTCCCACATCAATCATTCATGGCTATCATCCACCCTATGAAGGGTATGACATCAGATATTAGCCTTCTGAAGCTGAGGTAGACCTTGAAGAAGGTAGACCTTGTTCATCAACAGCATCCACAGCAGTACAAACAACAGGCATTTGCTCAAGAGGCATCTGGTTAACACAGCATAGGAGCCATTCTATCAATGGTTTCACTGGTGACTTTCCACCTGACTAAGAATACAACACAAAGTTCTTACTATCTCTCTGTCCTTATGTCCTCAACATTTGGTTTTACTAACCCACTAAAGCCATATTAGCCACCTGGCCATATCTTGAACCTCCACATCCACCTCTCCTGCTTCTCAGTATTCCCCTCTTGTCTAGACACTTGCTGAAGTACATGGCACAGACATTTCCCATGACTCTCTTAACCAGATACCTCTAAGGCTGGCTTCTGCATGTTACTCAAGTCTCTGTTTCAAAGTTGATTTTATTGGGTGAGACTTCTCTCACCAACCTATAGTGAACATCACACTGTTCTTTCACCATGTTGTTTAGCATTTAAATAATGATCCTTCATGACGCGCGCACGCGCGCACACACACACCTCTGCTTGCTCCTTCCACTTGAATAAATGCTCCATGAAACAGCAGAATTTTTTACTCACCCTATTCATCATAACAAATTTAACAGTACCTCATGGCAGTGATTATGATAATTTTTTTTCTTACATTCTGAGACTGGATCTTTTGCTGGACCCCACAGCCCGAGTTAGTAATACACCCTGAGGTCGCTTAAGACTTAAGACTGATATTTTACCATGGACTCAGCCTGCTTGTTTAAACTGTTTAAAGAAAACAATGTAACAAATCAACCAGCTAATGAATAGCTGTAATCTAAAATTATGTACTCTTCTATGTCACTGGTTTATAAAAATGCATGTGTATCACTTGCTAAAAGCAACAAATAAGAGGTTAAAAGCAATATTCTAAAATGAATGTCCACCAAAAATGTTGAACAAGCATTAGATATTGACTGATAAACAATGATATTTGTAGTATTGCTTGTTGTCTGGGTCTCTTGGAGCTGTGTTTAAGCACTTGTAAAATTCTGTTAAAGATTTCTCTAAAGTATATCATTCCTTCCCCATGTGATACTTTCTGTGATGTTCAAAGAAGATAGACACAAAGATTGAACACACAGGCACACAGTCAGACAACAGATAGACACACAGGGACAGACACACAGACAACAGATAGACAGATACAGGTGCAGGAACAGACACAAGCAGATAACAGATACAGATACAGGGGTGGAGTCACAGACAGCCTCCAGGCAAGCCCAGATTTGGACAGGATGGAAGACTCAGGGAACATGAAGTAGAGAAAGTCTGGGCCCGCTCTTGGTTAAATGACCCTAAGGGGAAGTGCTCTTATTTCTTTTCTTAATGTGAAATGGATGCACCATTGGTGACTCAGCGTTAATCACTAATGTGTTTAATCCATGCAGCACCTGGCGCATAGTTGGTGTTCAATTAATACTTGTTAATACAGTTACTGCTATTTTGAGGGGCAGAGCAGCATTCTATAGTAAAGAAGAAGCTGGGCAGTGGTGGTGCATGCCTTTAATCCTAGCACTCTGGAGGGAGAAGCAGACAGATTTCTGTGAGTTTGAGGACAGCCTGGTTTACAGAATGAGTTCCAGGACAGCCAGGGCTGTTATACAGAGAAACCCTGTCTCGAAAAAAATCAAACCAAACCAAAAACAAAACAACAACAAAACCAAACAAAAACAAAAAACTGACGCACTGGACTGAAATGAACCTAGGTTTTATTTGTGGCTCAAAATTTAGCTGTGAAATACTCTCTCTGAATCCAAGTCTTCCCAGTTGTACACTGTGGATTTATATAAGTATGTATTTATTATATTTAATATATGTTAAGCTTGTAGTGAAGTAAAATGACATGTCTAAATTATTGTTATGAGCCTAATGCATAACACTAAGTGTGCAAAAGTTTAGCAGAGTGCAGTGTGAAGTAAGTGCTCATTGTTAGATAAATACATGGATTGATTTACAGTTAGAGTTGGTTTTGATGCGCCCGTGATGGACTAAATGATGCGAACAATTTACAGTTTACTCTGGAGTTCCCAGTAGGTGTTGTGAGCAGGTAACTCCATTTGAAGGAGAAATTTTCAGTTCCTCTCTCAAGCTACCATAACAAAAAACTATAAACTGTGTAGCGTAAGCAAGAGAAATTTACTTCTTGTGGTTTGGAGGTCAAGAAATACAAAATCGAGGTGCTGGCCTATGCAAGGTTCCTGGTGTGTTCCCATTTCTTGGCTTGCCAACACCCACTTCTCCCAACTTCCTTTATCCTCCTTTACCTGGTACAGGATGAGGGAAGGAAGAGTTCTCTTCCCTTTTCATGAAGCCATTAATGTTGCCATATGTTTTAATATAATAGTAATTATCCTCCCAGAGGTCCTTTCTCCAAATTATCAGGACACTTGAGCCTATAATTCCAACTCATTTTGAAGGGACACAAAAATCCAGCCCATAAACTTACTTTAATGTCAGGAAGTTTCAAAAGCAAAAAAAAAAAAAAAAAAAAAAAAAAAAAAAAAGAAAAGAAAAAGAAAAAGAAAAAAAGATTCGTATGTAACGCTGGAGAGTACATCTTTCTAAGTCTTAACTTTATACATTGTACTCAAATTATCTTAAAATTGCATTTTAGTAAGGGTTAATAAGGAAATTTTCAGTTGAAATCTTGCAGTTTCGTTTGCAAAACAAATCATCTTTTGCAGGCAGAATCGTCATTCCATTCTTCTGTTTGTATACTTAATTTTTCCCAACTACATCTAGAATTGCTGTCATGCTTTCTGTATAAGGCGTGGAAAGTCAGAATACACAAATTTTAAGCCTTGCTAATCTATAGAAACATATTTAAAACGACCTCTTATTTACATTGTATTTCTGTTGGAGCCTCACTAATAGACTTAGTGGTTTTTAATCTAGTCAACGTTTCTCCTAGGGGTAACAGCAGAGAGAAAAAAGTGAGGACAACCGCGGAGCAGCCCCTGGAGGCGACTGGAGCCCCTTTAGGCCAGTGAGCCACAGGAAGAGTCCGTGGTTCAGGAGCTAAGTAGTCGAACATTTCCAGAAAACACTGCCCTTGGAGAGCCAGGAGACGACAGCTCTCTCCAAGTGAGTCTTGGAAATGATCATCCCGCACCCAAAGGAAAGCTGGGCTTAAACACTAAAGACGAGACCGCAGAGTTGCTGCTGGATGGACCCGGAAGACGCAGAACTTCCGTCAGCAGAGGAGAAGCAGCATCCAATCCGCTCCTGTTTCTTAGTGGCCAATCAGATCTCGCCTTACAACGGCGCTCTCGGCACCGCAAGGTTGGGCTACTCTGTAAGTGGTGCGGTTGTCACCTGCAGGATCCCGCTTCAGTTAGCCACGCGCAGTGAGTGCCGGGTTTCTTTGTGCTTGCTGCTTCTCCTCCTCCGCTCATGTAATGCACTCCCTGAACCAAGAAATCAAAGCATTCTCCCGGAACAATCTCAGGAAGCAGTGCACCAGGGTGACCACGCTGACTGGAAAGAAAATGATAGAAACGTGGAAAGATGCCACAGTTCATGTTGTGGAAGCAGAGCCCAGCGGTGGGGGTGGTTGTGGCTATGTGCAGGACCTTAGCTTGGACCTGCAAGTTGGCGTTATTAAGCCCTGGTTGCTTCTGGGTGAGTAGACTGACTTGCCACTGCCTTATGGAGCCCCTTTAACTGGATTCCTTTGCCATCAGCCTCCTCTATTCAAAATAATCCCCCTATGCACAATAGTATTATCAGCTATCTGATGAATTGAAATGTTTACGTTTTTAGGTTAGGAACAAAATAGGGACGTTTCTTCCACTACAGCATTTATCATTTTGACACCTGCTTATTGAATTTTAGAAGAAATGTTCTCCCTAGTTTTCTCAGTTTCTCTGGAGGATAATGGGATGCTGTGTTTTCTTGTATTATAAAAAGATGGTATCCTTTAAAAAATGCAAAAAAGCAACTGATTCCTTGGCTGGTGAAAGGACGTTGAAAGCGTGCTTCCCAGAGCATCTGCTCATGGTGTCTGTCTTTGGTGTGTTGAGAGCAAAGCTTCAGTTTTACAGCTATGAGTCTGATGATGGCCTCATATCTTGTGATATGGAAACACTGAATTTTTATACAAGCATGGCCCACAAATAGCAAAAGAAGAAGGTGTATGAGAACTCACTTCTTATCTTGTTGATCTGGCATGGTGTTCTTTAGTTTTCAGCCTATCCCATGGGTCTGCATTATTTTGCATATATGAATGAGAAATTAACACTTGGACACAGAACCAGGAGTTAGACATGCCCACAGTATCAAGCATACACAGCATATGATTCTTTTAAAGATCTCCAAGTAGGGATTATCTTCATGTTACAAATGGGGACTGGGCTTTAGGATCCGGTAAGTAATTTGCATAGGTAATAGACTGAGTAAATAGCAGAGTTGGGCATCAAGTCCAAGTCTGACTGACTGTTACCCTCTATCACTATACTATGTTGTTTGCAGTTAGTCTTACATTAGGTGGTGCAATTCATTTATTCTCTCTAGACCTCCAAAAGCTATCTGCTTAAAACATCTTTCAGTTTATTTATTTTATGTGCATGTGTTGCATGCATGTGTACATGTCTACCACATGCATGTGCATGCATGGTAATCTCAGAGATCAGAAGAGGTCAGCAGAGTCCCTCGAACTGGAGTTAAGAATGGTTGTGAACCACAGTGTGAGTGCTGAGAACTGAACCTTGGTCCTCTGCAAGAGCAACAAGTGCTCTCAACCACTGATCCATCTCTCAAGCCCCCAAACCATCTTGGTTCAGATCTTGTTCACTGTATCCAAGAATGATAATATGTATTATGGGTACTTTTCAGTTATTTGACCTCCGAAAGCTTTTTCTGACCTCCACAGTCACTCACACGCTCTATCTTTGTCTGTCCTTTGTCTCTGTTTCTTTCTCTCCTCTTCTCGCCCCCTCTATGTCTCTTTCTCTTACACACAGTAGGTAGAAAATATAAAAAGTAAATGAATAAGTAAGTAAATACATTAAAAAACAGAATCCTAATTAGCTGCAATGGTAGCTGTTCCAGAAGCCGAAGCAAGATAATAACAAGGCCTGCCTGGACTACAGAGTGAGACTCGGCAATACAGTACTTGCCTCAACACCACAAACACACAGAATGTTTATGTCAATGTTGTTATAATTTGGAAGTCACTTAGAACAGACACCAACCAACTCTGAAATAGACTCAACCTGACCTGCCTGTTTCAGGTTTAGAAGAGAGAGAGAAGCCGCGGACAGATTACCAAGGCAGTCACAGTGTGGGGTAAAAAGGGGAAGAATTTCATTTAAGCTATGTTGCAGTTTTTACTATTTTAAAATACAAACATATCAGAATAATTAGTTAAAAGATGGTATGTTCACTAAACTCTTAAAATAAAATTAATTTATCTGAACCTGTTCCCCAACCCCAACATGGCTAAGACTTCCTATATATGAAAACTGAGAATTGGCCGGGCGTTGGTGGCGCACGCCTTTAATCCCAGCACTCGGGAGGCAGAGCCAGGCGGATCTCTGTGAGTTCGAGGCCAGCCTGGGCTACCAAGT